GAGCAGGAGGGTGGACTAGACACCTGAGGTCCCTTCCAACATAAACTTTCCCATGATAATATAGTTAAAATTCATTCAAACAGTTCCTAAAAAAGAAGGTGAGCACAGTATCTTTGCTAACAGATGGTGAAATGATGTATTTATTCACCTGGCAGTCAAATGAGATTATTATCAGTGGGTTTGTGAACTATTGCATTCCCAGTGTCTGAAAATAAGACTTAACAAAATGTCACTTGCCTTTATTACTGCAAAGGTAACCTTTTGAAAATGAACTGACCATGAAGTAATACAGTTGTTTCATTTGGAATCTGTAGATAATCTGAAATAATAATGCGTAAGAGTATGAAATGCTTCTATAAATCTCTGTGGGATATTAGCAGTAAAGCCCAATGATGGCAATTTGTTCATAAGAGTTGTTAATAATTTAAAATTACTTAAGGTTCACAAAAGAGATAGTCAGATGTGTTATTAAAATATACTCAATCTAATGAATGACAATTAACTACTGTCATTAATAAAATGGCTTTTACTCTAACATCACTCAGTAATATGTTGCACTGAAAACTATACATGCTCACAATAACATGTGAATCTTAAAACTATGAACAACCTTGGCTGAGGGCATACTGCCTTGTTGGTGGATTTATGGTAATTTTAGGCTCTCACTTCAAGGAGTAATAGTGTTATAAAGGCTTGTCCTTTAGGTTTATACAGTTGGGGAACTTACTGGGAAGTTGAAAGGACTTGTTAGCAGTCTCTGCTCATCTCTGATGCTGTTCTATAAATTAACCACAGGAAATTTCTTTCAGTACCTTCAAATTTTTTCATTAGCTAGCACGAAAGGTCATTTCATATGAAATCAAGTGCTCCAAGATCTGCTAATGTAAGGACATCCTGAACTCATAAACCTAACTAAATCTATTTTCACCATGTACGTAGGAACATTGGATGTCATTTGGAGAGCAGTCTGTTGCTCACCAGATGTAGCCCTTTGTTATTATTTATCTAGTGACTGAAATTTTACGGTCTCTTCATAGAGGTCACTCTATGAAGTGAAAAGCCATCCTTAAGTAAAAATTCCCAAATCATCTCTGTCTGTGCTTTGACCTGTGATGATATTTGCAGAGTGATAGCTTTGAAAATCAGCATCTCAGTAGCAGTTGTACAGAAGCAGCACCACCATCTATGCTCTTGTGATGCCTCTCTATGGAACTGGGATCAGACTGTGTTGCAAAAAAAGGCCTGCTTGATTCTCTAATTCCTTCAGGAACCTGCAATCATGTTTTCCAGTAAATGTGCATGGTAAGGATAAATACTTTCTGTTTAGGAAGACAAGAAACCATGCTTCAGTGGGAAGTGTAGCATTCCGAAGTTCAATCTGCTCAAATACAGTAAGGACACTTATTTTTTTTTGTAAAAAACTCTTTCTACAGAAGTTTTAAAACACACTGTCATGATCTGTTTGTGTGTATTGTGGGATACAGCCTACAAAACCAGTTCATGTAAAAACTTTGCTAGGAACTGTTGTGAAGTTTGAAGTACCTTTTGTGACCCATCAGCAAATACATTTAGAAGAAATAGCCTCTGGTTAAAGATGAAAGGAGAGAATACAAACCTTTTTTTTGTTTGTTTTTTACAATCTGAACATGAATTTATTTTCCATTTCTTACAGACTTTCTACCTGATCTGAAATTCATCTCTGTGTGTCAGCTTTCTGAGTATTTTTTGATGCTGCAGTCCCGGGTTACAGGTGTATGCCACAGGGTGAGAGCATCAGTCCCTTCTGGAAATGGCTTGGGAATACATTACCTGGAGGAAGCATGAGAATTTGTGAAGTTCTGAAGACAGAAGAACAAAAGATACAAAAGGTACTAAATCTGAGGCTGTGGCTGCTAAAATGAGCTGCTGAGCACCGGAGAGCTGCAGAACCTCTGCACCTGTTATTTCCAGTAATAGAAAAGAAACCCAAGTGTGTCTCAAAGGTGTGGATGCTATTTTGTTTGTTTTGGGAGAAGAAATGTTAAATAAAATAACAGTTATGAAAGCAAAAGTTCTTTTCTAAAGGTGGCTATTCTCTGTATTTGTCTGGTTTCCCTATTCCAGTTCCCTTCAGCTGATAATGCTGCATCCTCAGGTCCCACACCCTCCATCCTGGCCTCTGTAACATGCAGTATTTCAAAGGAGCACAACTGCCTGCTGGACTGTAATTTCTCATGCAGCTAGGACCACATCCATGAGTTTATTTGAACCAGCACCTTGGAAGTGGATGGAGAGCTAATAGACAGAGTGATGTTTTTGCTGTGTTCACAGAGACTTAAAGGGAGAAAAGGGTCAGGCACATCCATATTATTTCACTTTTTGCCTCAGATGCCATGATTTGTAGTAGTTTTGGTCAGGAATGACAAAGGAGCAGCTCCCTGCTATGAGGTCCTCATGCCATAGAGAGCTGCAATGAGTTTGTATCAACATGGAGCTAAGAGTTCTCAGTCAGTACTGAGACAAATTTCAGAGATGTATTGAGTGAAGGGTAAATCTTTCCATCACTTAAATGTCTCAGGATACTTAAGGTATCCTCATGGTATAGTGTAAGAAGTCAGCGAGACAGAAGTGTCCTAAATGCATCTTGATAGATTTTCCTGTCACTGTATATCAGAAACTGTTGTAATTAGTCAGCCACTAGCAATGAATAATGGCTAGAAATATGGCTAATGGACAATACGTATTTCAAAATCAGTATTAGGAAAGACTGTGTGATCTTGAAAGTGTTTGGCTGTGGAACTGTCTCCTGGCAAAATGCGAAACAAGTCTTTTGCCTGTGTGTTCATTGAAGATCTCCAAATACATAGCTGGAGTGTAAATTAAGACAAGAGGCAGTAAAAACCAGGAGAATAGTTGCCTTGGAGTGTAGTCCTAAACTGAGTTTAATGGTTGGTTTCACTTTGTCTTTTATAATACCTACAGTATATCTCTACTTTTATAGATATGCATGTATGTATGTGTGTATATACATACAAGTGCTCCAGAAAGAAATGTTTTATTTTGGTTTTCTTGCAAGTATCAGTATTTCAATCTTAACACAGGTATATCCAGATAATAAAGTAACCATGGCAAAAAATAGAATAATAAAAAAAGAATTCCAAAGACTTCTTCTGTACCTAATTTGCAGCTCTTTTCAAAATGTGTGGTTATGAATAAACCATTTACTTTCAGAAGCATAGGCTCTGCAGGTTTTCAGATACAAAGGAATTAAAAGGTCAGAGAATTACAATGCCTTCACTGCATTCCTGTATGACAGCAAAGTTCATTACTATTTGCCGTGTTCGTCCTTAATTAAAGCATCAAATCACATGTATAGTCTGGAGCAGCTCAATTATAAAAGGTTACATCCACCAGTTTCTTCCTGTTTATTAATGACTGGCCTTGACTCTTGATCCAGTCAGCACTCTTTCCTGAGGATAAAAGTGCATATTATGTTCAAAATAAGACACCATAACTTTAAACACAAATAGGTTGCAAACATCTAAGTGGAAAGCTTGTACTGAACTTGGCTTTGGTGGAATTACAATCTCTTGTACCATGAAGTTTGACTTTTCACTGGTGACCCCTGGAAAATTTCTACATAGCTTTGTTACTGAACCCCCTTCTGTTTTATAATGGGGATGTTCTTGGTGTTTATTAACTGGTTTACTGAGGTATTATAAAAGGAGCACTTTGAAAAACTCTTCTCTTAAATCTTTCCTCAAACTAACAAACCTTAAAGCAGGTAATTTCATTTTAAAATATTACAAAAGGGAAGGGCTCAGACTGCCCAAAGCCAGTGTATTTGAATACAATAACAAGGTGGTGGGATCGCACACAGGTGTGTTACATTTTAAAGGATGACAAATAAACCACAACTTATTTGCCTGGCCAGCTCTCAATGTCAATGTCAGTCAGCTTCATTCCAGATACAACTCAGTGGAGCTGGGCATGTCAGATCTTAATGGGAGTTCAAACAGACTTGACATAGCTCAGTTAAATGGTAACAGGAAGCTAAATCTTAGTTCAAGATAGTTGAGGAATGGAGTAAAACTGATTAATAAAAAGCTGATAGAGAAAAAAAAGAGACAAGAACAGCAAAAAAAAGTCTCTGTTAGGAAGACCATATACCCTACCCTTGAGCTTAAAACATAGAATCAGCTAGGCTGTAGAACACCTTTAAGATCATCAAGTCCGACTGTTCCCCGAGCACTGCCATGGCCTCCACTAAAGCATATCACCAAGGGCCTTGTCTGCACGGTTTGTGAACACTTCTAGGGATGGTGACTCCACCACTGCCCTGGGCAGCCCTGTCCAACGCCTGACCACCCTTTGGGGAAGACATTTTTCCTAATCTCCAGTCTACACCTCCTCTGGTGCAGTTTGAGCCCATTTCCTCTTGTCCCATCCTTTGTTACTTGGGAGAAGAGACTGACCCCTGCCTCACTGCAACCTCCTTTCAGGTAGTTGTAGGGAGAGATGAGGTCCTGAGTCTTCTCTTCTTCCCACTAAACCCCCCAGATCCCTCAGCGCTTCCTCATCACACTTGCTCTCCAGACGCTGTACCAGCTGTGTTGCCCTTTGTTGCCTGCTCCAGCAACTCACTCTCTCTCTTGCAAGGAGAACATTTATCTGATCCTAAAAAGAAAAATAATAATAATTAAAAAACCCAAACCCTTGAAGTTTAAGCATGAAATTATCTTCTGCGGATTTGGCCTAAACCCACAGCACCCCACGCTCCTTCCCCTCACGCTGCCGTGACAGGATTCCCGTCCGAACCCCCCCCTTCCCGCTGAGTGGGCCCGCCCTTCGGGGTCTCCCTGGCGGCGGGGTCCGCCCACCGCCGCGCCTCCGCGGGGGGAGCGGAGCACAGCAGGGCCGAGCAGAGCAGCGGGGTTGGGCAGCATAGGGGCTGCCTGTGCGAAGGGGTTCAGGTTGTGCTCGGCGGAGCGAGGGGAACGACTGTGAGGGGGCGCGGCGCGGCGCTCGCCGCCGGGTCCGAGTGTGTGAGGCAGTCCCCTCCTCCGCGTAGGGCGCCCGCTCGCTTCGCCGCTCTCCCCGTCGGGATTTCGGGGATCACTGTTCTCCCGGTCGCCCCCCCCGGGACTCCCTGGGCGGTGGGGGACACGGAGGGCTCTCCCCGCCATGGCCTTCACCTTCGCCGCTTTCTGCTACATGTTGTCGCTGGTCCTCTGCGCAGCACTCATCTTCTTCGCCATCTGGCATGTGAGTACCTCAGCGCTCCTTATGCCCTCCGGCCCCTCCGCCGCGCGCGGAGACCATTAAACCCGGCTGCAGCCCGGTGGGAGGGTGTCGTGCCATGAGGGAGAGGAGCTGGGGCGGCCAGCCCTGCTCCCGCGTTGCTGAGGTGAAGCCCCCAGGGCCGTTGTGTGCGGCCGGCGTCCCGCGGCGGGAGCGGGCACTTCCCTTCTTTCACCCCGGCGGTGCCCGCACAGACCGAGGGCGCCGTGAAACCCCGGCGTGCGGGGCCTTACTTCTTACAAATCGACCACCCTAAAACAACGGTGGTGATCGCTTGTGCGAGCCCAGCCGGCCGCGATGCTGGAAGCGCTCGCAGCCCGAGTGCTGCCTGAGCCGTGAGGGGAGCGCCCTGCGGTTGTGAGAGGTGCTAAACCGGGAGATGCTCCAGGTAAGAACACCTCCTTTTCTTGCCCGAGAGTCCAGCGTGGTGAGGCAGAAGCCGCCCCGCGCCTGATGAAGCGGTGAGGTGTTTTTTTCCTGCGGTAGTTACTGCGTTAGTAAGTTCTTTTAAAAGTAGGATTTGAATGTGAAACTTACTCTTTCTTCTAATGCATGAATTGGTATTGGAGCCCACCTCCATTGGCTTCACTCGGAAGTGGTGGTGCTTAGTCCGTGTTGTACCCGGGGTGGCCGTGGTAGGCATAAGCATGGAACTTGCGAAGTGTTTCTTTCCACAGAAGTGGGATTGTTCTTATGCTTGACTTAAAATTCTTTTAAGTGGCTACGTATTTACACTATGTGTGTGCTACACAAATAATTTTATGCCAAAAACATTCAGGATGGAACAGGATAAGTTGAAAAAAGAGCAAGTCTCAGGAATGTCTCTACAGATACACCTGGCAGAGTAAGATTAAAAAGCCCTTCCCTTGTCTAACAAGCAAGGGAGATACAGTTTGTTGAAACGAAAGTAAAGCTGCTAGCTTGTTTGTATTTAAGCATCTTAAGTGTGAAACATACCACTCTGTTGTGAGAATTCTTTGAAGTCAAATTATTTTGAATTCTTAATAGTGCAGTCACAAGTTTTTTCTTATGAATGAAACTGCAAAAGCGTGGTGGTAATGCCAAGTACTTTGGGATCTCAAGTACTGTAAGGTCTCTTAGCAGTCACCTACTGCACTTCTGTTCTCTGAAAAAAAAGAGTAGCAAAAGTTAAATGGTTACTCATGTTTTCTTATTGCTTCCTCCCCAAACCTTTAGGTGCTCAAAAGCAAGAAATCTACAGCTTCTTTAAAGGGTTCTACTCTGAATCTCTTGCTAAAAAGTAATCACAGAAGCATTGAACGCTTTGGGTTGGAAGGGACCTTAAAAGTCACCTGGTTCCAACCCCTCTGCCATGGGCAGGTACACCTTCCACTAGACCAGATTGCTTATTTTCTTCGTTAGTAACACACTTTTAAGGATTTTTGTTTTAATGTATTTGAAGTCTGTTGTCATGCTGTCAGTGTTCCCACACTGAATTTGTTGTCTGAAGACACGCAGTACTTGTAGCAGATCTGGCGAATTATTCTTGTGTAAATCAGTTTAGTTACTGCAAATTTACTTTTGGTGAAACATTTCCACCTTTGAATCTGCACGCTCATGGAGAGTGATCCATTAGTTGTAGAGCTCCATAGGAAGCAACTGGGAAGGGAAACCTTTTGTCAATAGGCTGATGTTTATGGTGCGTGTTTGTTACATCTGTTGAAAAACTGTTGAGGGATTGAGGTTGAAAATGGCTGAAAATGCTGTTCTATTGTACTAGAGCAAGAATTGGTACTTTTTGATATCTTTCAGTATCTTTTCTTATAAATAGATCATTCTATTAAAAACATGGTTTGTGAAGGTCATGGAATAACAGATTTAATATCCTGCCAGAATAAACTTTTAAGCATACAGTTACCCACATACACAAAACATAAAGATTTTTCTAGAAGAGCTGTTATCATGTGGTTCCTTCTTTCTTCTAAAATGCAGTCTAACATGTAGCTTATGTGTTGAGTCATAGGAGTTTCTTTTACCTTAAGCATCTCATTGTGAAAATCTTCCCAAGAAAAAAAATTCTTACTCGTTTACTGTGACCTGATTTTTTTCACTGTAATATACTTGTGAGGGACAGTAAATATATTTTAAATAGGTTCTTATAAAGGCAGTGGAGGATTTTGGTAATTATATTTGCCTGTTAAAATGCATTTAAAGTATTATTAAAAAAAAGTAGCACAACACATTTCTATACTAAATTGTTGATCTGAGTGTCCAGTAACCTTGAAATATTTGTGAGGTTCTAAGATTGAATTTTATAACTTATTTTAAAGGACAAGAAAAAACTGTAGCATTTGGACTTTATATTGTTCTGGCCTGAAGCTGGCTGAGGTTTGGGCAGTTATTTGGACAGCAGATCAAATAAAAATCTCATTTTCTTCCTGCTGGGAAGCCAGATGAATTATAATTTTCATTAATACTGATGTAATAGGTTCAGTAAAAACTGAAACCAAAACAGAAGAAGTTAAAATGAGGATTTTTATTGTTGAAAACTGTGCTTTTCTGATGCCTTTCCTTTGAGAAATTAAAGGCTCTTTATACATTGCTGTGCTCTTTAGGGGCGGACAGAATGAAGCTGGTCAGAACACTTCAACGGAATTGTAGCTGAAGTACAGGGACTCCTTCAGACATTTGGAACATGTAATGATAATTTTTTTTTCTGTCTCTGAGTGATCTTGTACAGGTTGTCAGTGGTGTTTGTCATGATAAAAAAAAAACCAAACCCAAATTAGATACTATTAGAAACACTTGTTTAAGCTGTGCACCAGATGTGAGACATTGGAGCATGTCCAAAATTCAGCAGTGGAGCTGGTGAAGGTGCTGGAGCACAAGTGCAATGAGGAAAAGCTGAGGGACCTGGGGAGTTTAGTCTGGAGAAAAGAAGGCTCAGGGGGGACCTTATGGCTCTCTACAGCTACCTGAAAGGAGGTTGTAGTGAGATGGGGTTGGTCTCTTCTCCCAAGTGACAGGAGAAGAGAAAATGGCCTCAAGGTGTGCCAGGGGAGGTTTAGACTGGAGATTAGAAACACTTTCTCCCCAAAGGGTGGTCAGGCATTGGAACAGGCTGCCCAGGGCAGTGGCGGAGTCACTGTCCCTTGAAGTGTTCAAACACCATGTAGACGAGGCCCTCAGCGACATGGGTTAGTGGTGGCCTTGCAGTACTGCGGTAAAGGTTGAACTTGATGATTTTAAAGCCGTTCTACAGGCTAGTTGATCCTATGAATATATGTTGTAAACTCAGTGGCAAAGTATATGGCCTTACTAACAATCACAGAGACTTTGTTTTGCTCTCTTCAGCTCTTATAGAAAAGAACAAGCTTTTTACTCATGAGTTTTACTCTGTTCCTAAACTATCTTGAACTAAAAATTACTTTCCTGTTAAAACTTAACTGGGCTATGTCAAGTCTGTTTGAACTCCCATCAAGATTTGGCATAACCACATTCCTTTCTAGAGTTGCGTGCACTGAAATTGGTGACAGTTATTTGAACCAAACATAAGAAGAATAAAGGAGCAGAACATTTTTTTATTTTCTTGTTTTATGCTTTCCTTTTCCCTTATTTTCCTTTTGAAGTGTGAGGATAGTATTAATCCTGATAAACTGCCTTAATATGATTCTGGCTTAACAGTTACAAGTTCACAGGTATATTTAAGAACAGTGGGAGGCAGTGACTGAACAGAGTAATACAGGCTAAGATCGACTTTTAATTTTAAATTAAAGCATCCTTTTTTTACAAACACCAGGGAAAGAAGCCCTTGGAATCTATATTCAGTGCTGTTTCTGCTTTTGGCTTAGCGTGTTATGTTTAGTACACAGTTTGAGTTACCTGTGCCTTGTTTTCTCATTTACTAAGCATGGGTAATAGAACTAAATTTCAGATACTGCATATCATTTACCATCTATCCCTGAAATGCTTTTGCTTTTTGACAGAAGATGCTACGTACATATAAGATGTTGCCACTTCTGGTGCTTGTCACTGTACTGTTCTGTGATGTGGACTGTTTTATTACTACTCAAATTGCAGTAGCTTAGGTAAAAAAATCAAAAGCTTTTCATTAGGTATATATGCAGAATTTAGTGAGTATTCAGTGTGTGACTCACTTAGGCTTTGTCATAAAATTCCTAGCGTATTTTTTGATAGATTGTACAACCTTAATGTTAAAGGTACATAAAAAAAGTATACAAGAGAATCATTTGAAGCTTGGTTTGATAGGAAATTCAGTTGAGCAAAGCACTTTGGGGACAGACTAGGTGCAAGTCTATGAATGTTCTCTGTGTATCAGTGTTACATTGTTTCTGTAACTCTGGTTTGGAGGATAGCTATCTGTCTCTCCTGAAACCAATAAAAAAATCATATTGTTTCTGTAACTCTGGTTTGGAGGATAGCTATCTGTCTCACCTGAAACCAATAAAAATATCCATGAGCTGACTTGAACCTGTGCTGCTCTTCTCTTCAGTAAAGGCTGCCAGGCATCTCAATTAAGCTCTTTTAAAGCTTGTCTTGAAAAGAAAGTAATTTCCTTACAGACTTGTGGTCAAGGTTGAATTTTCTTTCAGATACTGAAGTTCAGTGCTGTCCTTAATTCAGTTCTCTAAGAATATTGGATAATTATGTTATTAAAAATAACATCAGATTAAGGCTTGATGAACGGAAACACAAATGCAGTTGCTCTATGTTAGACACATTTCTTAAAGGCATTTTTTCTTCTCTAAGCAGCTAAGCACTTTGTCCCTGAGGGTTTCATAGTCATGACAGTTTGAGGAATGAGTCTGATATTTTCACTCTTTTTAAAGACAGAGAAAAACCAGATTGGGCTGGCTATAATACAGCTTGACAGTTCCCTTACAACTTTTCTTTCAGAAGTTTGTCACATTAATGCTGACAGACAGATATTAGGCCAGGCAGCACTAGCTGTGGAGCCAACTATATTTTATATATTGGAAAAT